CAGTGTCTCCTGAAAGAACAGATTTGAGCAGAGCCAACGACATAATAGGCCATGATTGAGTAATCAGCTCGCTTGTGATGATGGAAACTGTTTCATCTTGATACCCAGTTATTGCCTGGAATCTTAAAAACATCACTACATTGGCTGGACCATTGTGGTTGATCTGTTTCGTCTGAGGCTGTGTGAACTGGTGGGAGGTGCAGGCCGTGCTCTGGAACTCTGGTCTATGGTTCCGTCATATGAACTAACCATCATGCACATTATGTTCTATGTATGTGAAGATAATGAGAGGCCAAGGTCCATCACACTGTGCCAGGGAAATGGGCACATCTGGCAGCCCCATGCACACCAGCTCAGACAACTCCCATGCCTACAATGTTCACATCTATTATAAAGTCCCAGGAGTAGAACAGAACATTCTGGGTTAATGAACTCTAGACCTCATGGAAGCAATCTATGGGAAGGCTCTCTTGACTCTGGCCCCATGTTCTCCTACTGAATACTTTTGCCACCTTCCTTTTAAACCTCATTCCCTAGACCAGGGAGACCAACAAATATGTACCATTTACAGAAAATATGGTAAAGAAGAAAAATAAAATTAAAAAAGAAAATAGACTTTTTTTGAAAGATATAAATGCAAACAAAGTTCATGAAAATTTCTTCTCAAACAATGCAATTAACCTAAGTGTTCAGGTATCTTTGATCAGAAATCACTAAACAGAAAATTTCCAGTATTGATGAAAAAAAATATAGACCTAATTTAGCTAGAAAACTGAAACACAAAATGGACACAGTCTCTACTAGAATACATACAAATATTACCATAGAAGGAATCAGCTAAGAGCATGCATTAATACAAATTCTGGAAAGATCTGACAACTTTAAGCAGAGATGTCAAAATTTGATACCTCAAATAATTTCTAATATAAGAATCTGGACTGCTGCAAATAGATGCAGTGACTCAAGCATATAAATTTCCAAGTTATAAGTGAGAAATTCAAGATGCATAATGGTGCAATGAGTGGGGAGCATTGTGGACCAGTGTGGAAAATCTTGAAGGTGGTGAGATCTGATGGAAATGCTAAAGGAAAGAAGGTAAATGTGTCAAAAGTTGATAGGTTGGTTAAGAAAAGGAGAAAATAGTAGAGAGTGAGTGACTTTCCAGGTGGTGGCAAGCACAGCTGACATTTCTATCAGACCAACTTCTCTCTCCCCTCTGTGCCCATTATCTTCACATACATAGAACATGTGCCAGGTGGGTAAAAGGCCCGTGGGTCACCAGCAAACCTGTTCAAACCTGTTAAAACTTGAGTCTGCATCAGCCCAGAAAGGGGCACCTGTTCTTAACTTATCTGCCTGGAGGAGGTGTCATTTGAAATTTGTCTACCTGAGTGGGCTCCCTTGAAGCCTAGTTTGAGAGCACCATCATTCATGTGCTATTGAACTCTTAGCTCATTTCCTCTGCCTTGAATTTCACTTCTTAATTCTATACACAGTAACTATTTGACTTACACTTCCTTGAATATTATTTTGCCATCTTTGGTCAAGAATTGATAATGGCCAAAAACAAACAAAAAAGAATTGACAGTGGTTTTCATTGCTCGTAATGAGATCTAGAATTTCAACAAGGTATCACTTAATTGTGCCTGTCACCTTCTATGTTAACCCGTAACTCAGAATCTTTGTACCCACCTAGCCAGTCACCCACACACAACTTCCTCGTCCTCTCATCCTTACTTCCTGTTACTGCCTGTCCCCTGTTTTGTATCTTTTCTCTACTCTGATCATCAATGTCTCATTTGAAATTCGATGGTTCAGTTGAGTGGGCTCATTGGTAGAATATTGGAGAAGGACCTGAGTAAACTATACTACTGCTCAGCAGTGGCCAATGGAAGTTTGTTTAAAATATCTCCTCCAGAAACTTCCTGAAAGAGCTGATTTCATTTCTTTGATTCTCCTCTTTTCATAATCAACAAGCTCAGTTAAAACAATAGTAGTTTGAACATCATTTAGCTAATATTAAAAGACATTAAAAATTCTTTCGGTGGAAACTAAAATACTTTTCTTATGACTAATAAAATTCCAAAGAATATTAAGAGCGGAGAATAATTTTGGTCACTGTTGTATGCACACATTTTCCCTGATCCTTGCCCCTGTGGTCTAGACAAATTTCAAATGCAGAAGAGTCAGTCTGGAACTATTTCCTACTTCTCAGAGCCTGGGATCCAAGAACAGGAGACACGTATTTCTTTTAATTTAACAAAGAAAATCCATAGTAAATTCTGGTTTAACTCATGCTTCTGCCACTTTCTCTTCAAAATAAATCAAGGCCTGGCTATATAACATATAGGTTGACATTGTGTCATCTCTTGGGTGACCTATGAGTACACAGTACTTGTCGGAATATGAACAAAGGCAGACAGATGTCAGGGAAGAGCTCTGTGTGTGTGTGGAATATGAGTCCTGCTATAAAGATGGAGGTAACAAAGGATGCAGAGCAGTTTATTAAAAATTGTGTCACAATCACCTTTCCCTTGACAGTTGAGATAAATTAAATCTGCTCTACATCTTACACCTGTCTCTCTGCTTTTAGCTCTACATTGATTTTTTTTTTACTAAACAGCCTCAAGCTTTGAAACAATCAAATCACACCAGAGAAAATACATGCGCTCTAGTTTTGCTTTCCATCTGATTTTTAATATTCAATACATACTTGTGATTATTTTAAAAGAGAATGAGACCAAAGCATACAGTCAACAGCTGTCATCTTCTGTCAATGATTACTGCTAACTAATAGGCCCTATTGACATTCTTTCAACCTGCCTCTGAATCTCAGAAAACCATTCTGTGGGTTTTCAAAACAAATGGACACTAACAATGCTGCCCATTATGTTCAGTTGCTTTCATATTCAACAGTGTTACCAGCTTCTGTACAAAGAAAATAAATCATCTTGTGCAAGAAACTTAATCTTGTTTTGACAAAAGAAAGATTTTTTTTTAATTAGTAAGAGTTAAATAACTATACCTCCTAAATATCTATTACCTCGTTTCCTCCATGATTTAAGATGTTTATAATCACTTTTTCAACATATAATGGACAAGGTCTTATTTCATTGGTATTTGAAAATGGTTCTTTATGACATTTTTCTGAATAGACCATTTTCTTGCCTTGGTTCCAAAAGGAGATTAGTGACTATGCTCAGTCTTTCTTTTAAGTGGCCAGGTTTAAAAAATACTTCTGTAGTGCAAGGTTATGTTTAGGTGAGAAATAGTGTCAATATGTGTCTAAAGGAATGGAGTCAACATTTAAAGTGAAGAATCTCAGTTAATTTTCTCTTCCAAATGGCTCATCAAACTTGTTTTGCATCAAGTTCTGAAAAGAATGTGCATCCCACAACTCCCCAACCCACCCCCACCCCTGTCATTAAGAGGAGCAAAGGCGGCTTGATGTGATCCAAGGTGACTGTAGACCAGGGGTGGGGAACCTTTTTTCTGCCAAGGGACATTTGAATATTTATAATATCACTCACAGACCATACAAAATCATCAACTTAAAAATTAGCCTGCTATATTTGGTCAAACATTTAATTAAACCAAATGATTTCGCCGGCCTTATACATGGCCCACAGGCCAGACATGCCCTACTCCTGCTGTAGACAGAGGGCTGTTCTCTGACAAATGTCCTGTTTAGCACAAACAGGCCATTGTGTATACAAAATCTTTTTATCTTCCTTCCCAGGGCAGGAAGAAACAGCGGGTTGCAGCGTAAACTATCCATAAAGAGACAGCCAAATCCTAAGAAGCCATAGCTTTAAAAGTCTATACACAAGCAAGGCACATGGGCTTCCTGGAAGCAGATGACAGCAAAGAAGAAAGAAAGATGGCTGGCTGGAAGGAAGAAAGGAAAGAAAGGAGGGAGGGAAGAAGAATTTCTGTCACCAATAAAAATAAATTATTTTCTCTAAACATGTCCCTCTGCAATGAGAAAATGTGCCCAGAGGACAAACCAGGGAAACCTGGGATGGCCTTTCTCACACTCAGGTGTAACTCAGGCCTCTACACAGACTTCTAGAGTGGCTGGTCTCTCTGTGTTTGCACTTCAGCAAGCAAAAAATCATTTTTTCTTACTGTTCCATGGCTTTTGTGAGGCCTAAAGCTCACATAGGTAAGGGCTTCCTTAGGACCCGGGAGACAGATTACTAATGCAATGTGAGTACCAGGCCCTGGAAGGAACTCGCTCAGCTAAGAGGCCCTGGAGTTCAGCTTCAACCTTGTCAGGGCCAGCTTGCTTCTGCTCACAGATCTGAAAGAGCTGAGGGATTCAAAGCTCCAATGTGTCAAAGAAGCAACTCTATTATCAAACATTTATTAAATTCCCACTCAACACAACACTGACTCAGCAAACACTAATCCAGCAGCTTCTTGTTATTGCCGAGGTTATATGAGGATTATGAAACCTAGTCACCACCCTCAAAAGTTTTAATGCAACTGAAAAATAGGAAGGTATACAGCTGGAAATCACAAGCTGGTGAGACTATGTATTTTTTCAGACTCCCTGAATTTTTTGTTTAATTTCAGGAATATGGGACAAATCAAGAAAAAGAGAAAGATTTTGTATTTTTAAATCTGTGATTGATGGATTAGTAAGATAAAGACTACCATTCAATAACTGACAACTTACCTAAACCCATTCATTAAAAAATATTTTGACCTTAGCCGGGTAGCACCGTTGGTTAGAGCATCATCCCAATATACCAAGGTTGAGGGTTCAATCCCCGGTCAGGGCACATACAAGAATCAACCAATGAATATATCAATATAAATAAGTGGAACAACAAATTCATATTTCTCTCCCTCTCTCTCTCTCTCTCTCTCTCAAATCAATTACTTTTTAAAAAACATTTTGAACAATAGAGTTATAGAAAAGACAACAGAAAACAACCGACAGTGGTTTGGTTTTTTTCATTTTTGACACGAGAAGGCCTCTGTCATATACTCACCATCAGTTACAGTCAACCTTACGACAAAGGTTTCATTTTCTCCTGTGCTGGCCTTGAAGCAACAGCGGTAAAGTCCGGAGTCAGAGGCCTCAACGTGGGGCAAGAGGATAAAGCTCCTTCTCATCCCCTGGCTGCAGTTGGTCAGTATTTGTCTCCTAAACCTTGAGGGGGAGATTTTCCCTTGGGACAAGTTGCATCTGGTTAGGAGGTCAATCTGATGGGACTGGATCTTTTCCCATGTGACTTGTTGCATGGGATCCTTCGTTTGAAGTTCGTACATGAATGTGATGTTTTCTCCAGGTTTTGAGATCACATGGCTATCCGACGGCACAGCTATCTCAAAACTATCTGAAAAGAAGAAGACATTAATTATACTTAGGTCCTCAATTTTTTAAATGGAAGGGTCTAGAAGCTGCTCAGAAAATGCCATCAAAAAGATTGGTGATGTCATTTAACATAGTTTTAGAAATTACAGACAGCTTTATACCACATTTTTCTAAGAAGAAGGTTTTTGAAAGGATGTGCTCACACATATCTCTTAACTTTTACTTGGTTAACCATATAGCAAGAAACATCATCAAAAGCTCTGGTGCTTGTATCAAGAGGTTGAATGTCACAACTGATCATATCAAGAGGTTGAATTGGCTGCTGTTTCACACACTGACTCTGCGTATCAAATATCCTATATAATAAAAGGCTAATATGCAAAGAAATCGAATGGCATAAGGACCAGTAGTTATGATGCACACTGACCACCAGGGGGTAGATGCTCCATGCAGGAACTGCTCCCTCATGGTCAGTGCATTCCTACTGGGAGCACCACTTAGCCAAGAAGCCAGGCTGGCCAAAACCGGTTTGGCTCAGTGGATAGAGCATTGGCCTTAGGACTGAAAGGTCCCGGGTTCAATTTCAGTCAAGGGCATGTACATTGGTAGCAGGCACATCCCCAGTAGGGGGTTTGCAAGAGGCAGCTGATCGATGATTCTCTCTCATTGATGTTTCTAACACTCTATCCCTCTCTCTTCCTCTCTGTAAAAAAATCAATAAAATATATATATATTTTTTAAAAAAGAAGCCAGGCTGTAAGAGGACACAGGCCAGGCTGAGGGATCCTGCCACCCCTTCCCGCAAGTGCACAAATTTCATATACTGGGCCTCTAGTCTAGATTATAATAATGCCAACTAAGATTTTATTATTCATAAAAGAAATACCAAATCATCTTCATTGAATATATACATAAATTCATTTTTCAGACATATGGATTGTCTTATGCATAAAGTAAAAACTCTGTGTTTTACAACTTCCTGGGTAACTACAGAGTCCTCCAATATTCCCCCACCTTCCTACCACCATAGCTGGAATACCCAGCACACAGCACTTAGTACATAATCATTAGGTGCCTCAAACAGCAGTTTTTATAGTGTGACTTGAGATCCCAAAGAGTTCCTTTATCCCTCTCTGAGACCTAAAATATCACACCAATTTTAATAGTCATATTAAAATGTAATTTACTTTTTTAACTCTTATTATATAAGAATATGTATATTATAAATTCATTCTTATAAGAATATTTGGTAGAGATTTTTCAGAGTCTCTGATAGTCACTGGGATGTATGTTATGTGCTTATAAATTCTGGTCTTTTAAATTTTGTTTGGTTTTCATTTCTATTACAATAAATATTTATAGAACAAAATTCTTTGGGGTCTTCAATCATTTTTAAAAGAATAAATGGGGAAAAACAATTCTAAAATTCTTATGGAACCACAAAAGGCTACAATAGGCAAAACAAGCTTGAAAAAGAACAAAGATGGAGGTGCCACACTTCCTGATTTCAAACTAAACTACAAAGCAACAATAATTAAAACAACCTGTTTCTGGCAAAAGACAAAAATACAGACCAATGGAAGAGAATGGAAAGCCCAGAATTAAATCCATATATACATGGTCAGCTGATCTACAACCAGAGTGCCAGGAATGCACAATGGAGAAAGGATAGTCTCTTCAACATATGTCCTTGGAAAAACACAATAGAAGAGGATAAAATTGGACCTTTCTCTTATACCATGTATAAAAATCAACTCAAAATAATAAAGACTTAAATGTAAGTCTTGAAACTATTTAACACTTCCAGAAGAAAACATAGGAGAAAGTTTCATGATACTAACCTTGGCAATGATTCTTGAATATGACACGAAAAGCATAGGCAACAAATGGAAAAATAGACAAGTGAGACTACCAGGGGTCTTCAAATTACGGCCCGCGGGCCACATGCGGCCCGCAGAGGAGTCTGATCCGGCCCTCCAGGTTTTTTGGGCAGTGAGCGCAGCCGAGGTGTTACAGTAGGAATTAGTAGTTCATATAGTCCGGCCCTCCAGCTCTCTGAGGGACCGTGATCTGGCCCCCACTTTAAAAAGTTTGAGGACGCCTGCTACACCAAACTAAAGTATTTCCTCACAGCAAAGAAAACAGTGAACATAGTGAAAAGGCAACCTATACAATGGGAGAAAACATTTGAAACATTTGGAAGGATTAATTTCCAAAATATGTAAGGCATTCCTGCAACTCAATAGCAAAATAAAAAATAACTAATTATTTAATTTGAAAAAATGGGATAAAGAGTTGAATAGACATTTCTCTAAAGAAGATGTACAAATGGCCAACTGATACATGAAAAGACGTTCAATGCCACTAATCATTAGGGAAACGCAAATCAAAATCACAATGAGATATTACCTCACATCTGGTAGGATGACTATTACAAAATAAAATAAAAGAAGAAGAGAAAAACAATTGTTGGTGAGAATATAAAGAAATTGAAACCCTTTTACATGGTAGGTAGGAATATAAAATGGCACAGCCTCTATTGCAGCACTATTCACAAGTAAAAACATGTCCACTGATGGATAAATAAATTTTTAAAGTGTAGTATATATTACAATGGGATGCTATTCAGCCTGCAAAAAGAAGGAAATCCTGCATTCTGAGACAACACAGATAAACCTGAAAGACAATATGCCAAGTGAAATAAGTCAGACCATTTATATGGTCAGTTGGTTTTTAACAAGAGTGTCAAGAATGCACAATGGAGAATGCTGCATGATTCCACTTCTGTAAGGAATCTCAAATGGTCAGACTCATAGACTCGAAGAATAGAATGGTGGCTGCCAGGGGCTGGGCAGGGGAGATGTGGGGAGTTGCGTCTCAGTGGGTGTAGAGTTTCACTTCTACTAGATAAATACAATCTAGAGATATGGTTGTTGGACACCATAGTGCCTGTAGTTAGCAACATTATTTGTATACTTAAAAATCGGTTAAGACTTTAGACCTCATGTTATATGTTTTTAGCATAATAAAATATTTTCTCAAAAAGAGTATAAAGGGATCCTGAGACCAAACAATTGAAGAATCTGATCTAGAGAATAACCTTGAAGAATTAGTTTATTGGGGGCGGGGGTAGGTTATGTCAGTCTATTTAATCCAATAGTTCTGCTATGGCTGACGAGGAATTTCAACCGACTGTTCAAATAGAAAGGGCAGTCATGGTATCACAGGGCACATGGACCCTGGAAAATAATGAGGAACTGGGAGAGACCAATCCCAGCCTCACTGTGTCACTAACTTGCTCAGGTTGGGCTGGGAGCCACTTTCTTGACTTCCAATGAAAAAGAAGAGAGGAGAGAAGAAGATCCCCAAATGAAGTCCAAAATACAAGAAGGTTCGCTGTCTGTGTTCAACTAGAAGACTGTCTGTGAGAGTTTCGTCCCCACCAAACCACTTTCTTTTCTTCAGCAAGTGGTTCCATGTGTCAGAAAGTTTTTGGAAAGAGAAAACCACAGCACTCCCGCTTCTCACCCCATAACTGGGCAACCATTTACCAAAACTAACACTCTACCCACATGACAAGCACACAGGAAACATTTCATCTGTCGGTTATCAGCCAGCACAAGAAGGGAGGGGGAAATAGAAGGAAAGAGAGAAAATTCACAAGAAATGAAAAAACTAAGAATATTAAAGGAAACAAATGAGCAATTAGAATAAAACTAAGACAGGAAAAAGAAGTCATGAGAAAACAAGAAGCCAGAGACAGTATCAGTAAAAGGCTGAATCAGATCACAGCACACTGTGTTGAGAAAATGAAAGAACATAAAAGAAATGACAAAAAGAAAGGGAAATTCATTTTTACCCGGGGCCAAAGCCTCGGAAATGAGACGCAGGCTGGCCTGGCGGCAGCGCTGATATTGTTCTTCAGTGCTCACATACCTGTTTGTTTTCCTCTATGACGACAGCTGTCTTCCAATCTCAGAAACCTGCTTTATCTGCCCCTCTAACCCACCCTTCTACCAGAAAGCAACACCATGGGCTGCGACTAGATGTGAAGTGTCTGTATTTGCACGAAGGACAGACCCAGGAGGGAGGCCAGGCCTAGGGATCTCGGGGAAAGGAGGGCTCTACATCAGTACCGAGGCCCATCTGTCAACAGACACAGGCCGGAACTGACAGAAGCAGGCCCGCCCCAGAGGCAGGTGGTTTGGAAGCAGAGAGTGGATTCCCTTAACCTCTCCCGATATACCAAAGAGCTGGCTGGAGTCAGGTGGAAATCTAGGCGAAGCCAGCACAACTGGCCTCCCTCACATGGGGCCTGCTGCTGCCGGAGCACCAGATCCTCCTGCTCGGCACATGGAGAGCGACCAAAACAACCTGAAAACCGGGAGGACCCCACGTGCACAAGGACCCTGGCACCCTGATTTGGAAAGTAAATCTACTTAAAATGGGGATCAAATTGTCGTTGTTAATAGGAAAGAAAGGTTTGATTATAATTGAATCCTAAAAACAGAAACAAAAATAATAAAATCCAGTTAATTTTACATTTCTAACTAGTTATGTATTAATTCTTAGCATAAACATAGAATAGATTGGGGAGGGGGGGTTGTTTGTTTGTTTGCTTTTAAAAATTTTCTTTTTAGCCCTGGCCGGGTGGGTCATTTGATGGGAGCATCTTCTTATACACAGAGAGTTTTGAGTTCAATTCCTGGTCAGGACACAGTCTAGGTTTGGGGTTCAATCCTGGGTTTGGTCATGTGCAGGAGGCAATGGATCAATCTTTCTCTCATGTCAGTGTTTTTTCTCTCTCCCTTCTTCTCTCTCTCTCTCAACTCAATAAAAACACCCTCAGGTAAGAACTTTAAAAATAATTTAAAACTTTATTTTTAGAGAAGTTATGGGTTTACAATAAAATTGAGAGGGAGGTACAGAGATTTCCTATCACCTACACACAGTCTCCCATTACCTACATCCCTCACCAGGCTGATGCTTTTTTTTTTTTTTTTTTTTTTTTTTTACCAAGAA